TATTTGATGACTAACCTGTAGCACTTAGTTTCATAATTGTCCTGCAGAAATTAATTTTTAAGAAAGTGGTCACAATTGTCTAGGAAACCCATTGTAACTTACCACAGACAACAGATATTTCTATTCCTACCATGCTTTTACCATGATTTCCCTATGCTGTAGTGTAGATTGTTCCTCTTTCACTGTGGTGTAGAAACGGTTTATAGGATGAAGCCACCATTAGCTAAGTATGCGTGTCAGGCAGGCTGGGAAGGGACCCGCCTGTGCCCAGTGGCCTTGTCACTGCTGGAGCCTGTGTACACAACAAACAGCCCAGCAGGCAGGTTACCTCCAAAGGTGAGGCAGGCGCGAGGAGCACTAGCACAGCAGAGGCAGAGCCAGCTGAGAGAATGTGGACAACACTGCCTTGAAATTAAACAGTCACAGTGCCACAACAGAGTATACAATACAATCTGCACAACAGAGTCGCAGCATCTGCTTCAAATCACTTAACTAACTTCTACAATGAACACGTGCTTGATAACCTTAGAAGAGGATCACTAAAAAATAAGTGCAGCAGCTATTCCTACTGTTCTTGTTCACAAAGTTAAAATATCACTACAGTATTTTATTGCAAAAGTGTCCCAACTTATGTCTACAATGTCACAACTACCTTCACACAGTCTCAATGTGTCCAGAACTGGAACAAAGTGCCCCAGAGGTGCCCTTGATTCTGACTAAAAACACTCACAGAACTAAACTGGTTCCCAGATGTCACTGTGTCACACATCTTGAATCAAATCTTCCCACTCACTCGTCTGTGCGAGAAACACAGAGCAGCCTTTTAGAGAGGCTGTCTTTTGGAAGTGGAAGAGGGTAATAGAGATGTTCTGCTTCCTGGTAAAAGCATGTATAAATCCAACCCCCTGCAAAACAAACCCTCACAGGTGGCACAAGCTTGGTGAAACCACGGGAAAACTAAAAATGTATCACTAATAGTGCAGCCCAACAGCACAGGCAGATATGACAGCACAGTCACAACAGTGCTTTAGCTCAGCCTGTAGTAATTCCCCTTTTATCACCTGGTTGGCTTTCTGATTCTCTTCAACAGGTATCTGCTTAGAATGAGAGTTAATAAAGGCAGCAGCTCCTGCAGCAGGCCAGCTGTCCCGTGTACCAGCAGTGTGAGGACCAGGTGAGGACTGGGTGAGAGCTGGGAGAGAGCTGAGCCCCTTCATTAGTCAAGCCAGGCTGGGACACAGCACAACTTTGTGAGCTGAGGGCATTAGTAATCAATTCAACAAAACTGGCCACTTTGTTTACCGAAGACTAAAAGCATCTGTATAGAACAAGGCAAATTTGGAAACTGTAGTGCAATGAAACTGTACTGTAGGTAATAATCCTCTTGGCAACCAACATTATCATCACTATGATTCTGAGGATTATAAGACTATCAGTAATGAAAAGAACACTTTTGAATGACACAGGACATTGGCCTAGCAGATTTTCACAGTGCAGTTAGTAATTACCATGGCCATTACCATCTCCACCACCAGATTAGAGAAATGAAACACGGGGTTCATGGGCACAATACGCAGACTGCCAGAGGCTTCTCTCTCATTTAACAGCTGCACCTCCAGTTCGGGCCTGTCCACTGGCCCCCACCCCACTACACCAGCCTGGGGGTGTCCAGGACCCTTCACCAGGGCACTCACAACCAGCCTGCAGTGTGAGGGTGGCCGGCTGAAGTGCCAGCACCTGCCTGCATTCCTATCCCAGAAGTCAGCTGAGCAAGCATGAGGTACATCTAAAGCACACACCAGAAGAACCAGCCTGATCAGTTTCACATATGCAATATGCAGCAGCCATATCACCCTGCAACTCACAACTGGCAACCCAATGAAGCTCAGCAGGTGTGAGCCTGGCCAGTACCTGGATGGGAGACCTCCTGGGAAAAACTAAGGTTGCTGCTGGAAGAGGTGTTAGTGGGGCCAGCAGGGGGCGCTCAGCCTGCGCTCTGTGTGGGTCCTAATGCCCCAGTATAGTGATGGGGACACTATACAGTAAACAGGCGCCGTCCTTCGGATGAGACATAAAACCGAGGTCCTGACTCTCTGTGGTCATTAAAAATCCCAGGGTGTTTCTTGAAAAGAGTAGGGGTGTAACCCCGGCGTCCTGGCCATATTTCCCATTGGCCCTTACCAATCATGGTCTCCTAATAACCCCCATCTCTGAACTGGCTTCATTACTCTGCTCTCCTCTCCACTGATAGCTGATGTGTGGTGAGTGTTCTGGCGCACTATGGCTGCCGTCGCATCATCCAGGTGGGGCTGCACATTGGTGGTGGTGGAGGGGATCCCCATTACCTGTAAAGCACTTTGAGTGCAGTGTCCAGAAAAGCGCTATATAAGTGTAAGCAATTATTATTATAATAAAACATATGCAGCCTGCACCTGCACAGAAACTCCATGTACATGTAGCATGATCATTGTTATGGCTGTTCTTGAATACGGTCACTTTCATTGGAAAAACACGATCTGTCCTGTCACAGGCGTGATCAGCAGCCCTAGAGCCCCACGTGATTCAAAGACACTCTGCCGGCTGGATCAGAAACATGGAAGTGCCATATCCAGAGACACACCAGCGGGACAGAACAAGAGCAGGAAAAAGGAATGGAAATTCAGTCAACTGTAAAATTCCTCGCTGTTCTGTGTCACCCAAGAATGTTCACGAGACCCAAGAATGGGACAGCTGTCATGCGACCTCACTGCAGTCACCAGAGTGCTGATGGGTATCTGACGGCATGCCACTGGACACGAGGGAGCCATGGGGGGGCATCCCTTTTCAGTCACAGTCATCAGAACTCACCCTCCACTTTGGCATCTATGATACGTCCCTCTCCTACAAAAAGTCATTCTCCTGCTGCAGTTCTCTGCAAAGGAGATTTTCAGATGAAATGAAATGACCATCCAAGGAGCAAACTCTGAGCCTAAAGCCTCTGGGGAATTTCTTAAAATCAACTGCAGATCCCTATATCTTTTAGAACACTGAAAAACCAAAACATAGAAGACCTACTCAACACACAGCCTTTTGCAGACCACTGTATCACTACAATACATCAGCAAAATATTATTTTGATCCTGCTGCTGATCAGTTTAATTATTTAACACCTGGATCTGGATATGCATAAGAACATCGGAAAGGTTACAAATGGTAGGTCACTCAGCCTATCTAGTCAGTTTAGTAGTTAGTACCTGAAAGATCTCAGAATCACATTCACCTGTTTTTTGAAGGAAACATGGGTTCTGCCTCCAATAACAGAGCTCGACAGCTCATTTCACACTTTGTGTAAAGAATCACCACCTGTTCTCAGAGACAGGCTATAGTAGTAACACTGGGACTGATCACAGTGCTTATTTCATGGCATTGACTGACTGAAGGACCCCTTTCTCCGTGGATACTGTTGGATAATACTACTGTCCTTGCATCCACAGAGCCAGCAACCATGAAAAAGCCTTGTAAAGCTACCCACAACCACTTTGTTCCCAGAGAAAACTGCACAGTTTCACACAGTGGCAGCCAAGGGGGTACATAATTAACCAAATATGTATCTCTGTTTTAAAGGAGGCACCCCAAGCAGCGGACAGAGGCATGATGAAATCAGTGCTGTTTGGAAAAGGCCAAGATCACAGGATTCACGCATTTTCCTCTAAACTCTCTCAAGGAATTTGGGTTGAGCCCTTGAATCACGTCGAGCTTTCCTATCAGAGCTGTGTTCCTGCATCAGCCCCACTGTCGGCCATTCCACTCACAGGAGCAGCACTGGGCAGGGCGACCACTCCCTAGCAACCCAATCCAAGCAGTACAGCTGCCAGAGAGAGATACTGAGGTTCATTCTTCTGTTCAACAGTTACTCTTTAAAGTTCTGCATGTTGTAGTCACGGTGGGCGAACTGTTCATGTTCAGTCTCTGTGGTGAATCCCTGTTTCTCAGTTGTATGTGTTGGTATGTGCCTGTCCGGGGTACCATTGTACCACTGTGTTGTTGTTGCCATGATGTCCTGCCTCGCTGGGAAAACGTACCATAAGAACATACCACAACCATAAATTCAGAACAAAAATAACTCAACAATATACCATTTTAGCAGTTCATTGGACAGTACATGTGTCTAAATGACTAGGAATTGAAGAGCCAGGCTTGAGACAATGGCCAAGTACAAAAAACTCACCGGTGTGAACGACATCTGACGCCCCCTTGTGGTACACACGCAAAATCACTCATTACTTATTCATTCCCAGACACCTTGAACCCTTATTAGAGGCAGTGGCCTGTCAGCTTGACAAAAGATCTCACTGTGGTTCATATTCAGGCAGACTGTTTGAGTTTATCTACGTCTTTAAAAAATGCAACAAGACTAAGTGGACACTAACAGAGAAACTCAGTGCTGAAACTCTGTGATAATATGACAGTTGGTCGGAAGAAGCTTGTACAGACGGGTCAATAGTGAATATTAGGAAACTCATCCCTCCTGGTTTTCCCACAAATGACCTAGAGTCCTTCCAGAAATTAATTTTAAGAAAGCAATAAATTGCCTTTACTGTATATACATCCTTATACCCAGAATAAACCCGTGCAGCCTCATGCTACAGCACAGTGTCCCTGGCTTTTCAAAATATTTCACTGCAGGAGTCTACCGTCATCTGAAGGAAAAACAAAATCACCTTTTGTTTTCATTTCTCTATATCAACCAGCGATATTCATTCCGGTCCTGGAGCACTGCACTACACCAGCTTCTCCAGATAACTCAGAAACGTCAGTGAGCAAAGTGCCAGTAGAGACCTATTAAACAAGGAATGGACGTGGTGCCCCTCCAAGACCAGAGGTGAGTATTTGAGGATCAGGGACGGAATCTCTTTAAAGGGGAAGAGCCTGGTGGAGTGCCTCCCAATGATAAGGAACTACACACCAGGCACTCCACCGGGCCTCCAGTACAACCAGCACAGACGGCCGCAGTGTCCTACCGTGGGCTCCCGGACGGGTGAGCCAGTGCGCCCTCTGTCCCAGGACGAGCTGCTGCTCCTGAGGCTGGTGCTGAGGCCCTCCTGCGTGGAGCTGTGCGACACGCCGTAGCTGTAGCGCGAGCTGCTGTAGTCCGAGATCTCCCCTCCCCGGCTGCGGTAGGAGCCCTTCAGGACATCCGCGTCCAGCCGGGCCCGGGAGGAGGAGTCCGACAGCCCCAGGGAGGCCAGGTCCCGGGTCAGATCCGTCTGGCTGATGGACTTGCGGCGGCTCAGGCCGAGGCGGGACGAGGAGGAGGGGGAGGTGGGGAGGTAGCTGGGCTGGGTCGGAGAGTAGCTGTAGCCGGCGTAGCCCCCTCCCCCACTCAGTCCCGAGCTGTAGCCCTTGCCGGGGGTCCTGCTCAGACTCTCGCTGCGACGGCTGCCCAGTATGTCAGCGCGGGGCACGGGGCGCCCCCTGTCGGGCTCAGACGAGGTGCTGTGGTTGCGGGCTCGGCTGGCGCCCATGCTCAGGTAGCTGGAGGGGGTGTAGCTGCTGGAGGGGCTCTTGTAGGAAAGCTTGTCCCGCTCTCCATAGGAGCCCAGGCCCGACGCCAAGGAGGAACTGTAGGAGCCATAGTGGCTGGTGTAGGTGGAGGTGTAGCGCTTGGCCGTGGAGGAAGCACGAGACATGCTGGATCTCAGTCGCAGGGACGCAGTGGCAGACCTCATGGACTGCAACGGGAAACAGAGACACCTTGTGTGAGACAGACAGGAGATACGACAGAGAAAAGGCAATACAGGGAAATGCAATAATAATTAAAAAGTTCCTAGTAATTGTTTTGTGAGACTTATACAGAGCTCTAGCAGTGACTCAGATGATCTCACCCAGTGCTGGTCACAGAGCTGGTCTGCTCTGCCATGCGCCAGAATGTCAGTAGGGACCCCTCCAGCTCCAGGACCTGTCTAGCCTTGTGCATCTCATTGTGCAGAAGGTCAACTTGCGTTCCCAGGTCTCCCCTCAGAGTGGTACAGAACTCTATCCATTATTCACTCAGTTATTGTCTCCCTCACTGTCCAAGGCATTGAGGCAGGTCAATCACCTCAGTTCCACCCAGTTCCCTTTCTCTCAGCTGCCCAGCTCCCAGCTACTGCCATCAGGATGATCCCATGATTTTCATGAACACACCTACACATCTAAAGTTCTGTACATATCAGAAATAATTTTAGAAATGAAATAAATGCTTGTTGAACAAGCCTGATTACAAGTAGATCCTGCACTGGACCTCAAGATATTGATTCATGTATATGGGGTGCTGTATAAACACAAGACAACTTGAAAGAACTGATTTTTACTTCAGACCACACAACACAAAATCACACCAGAGCAATGAACCATAGCAAAGGGGATTATAGTTCCCAGATAAAAATACATAGAGTATCGGACAGAATGTGGGTAAATACAGCCAGTATGACTGTTTCAGCCAGCATTCGCCACTTTGCTTTCAGTGTGGCTGTTGTTCACTCTCTATGGGAACATGCGTTGCGCACTGCAGTGTAATTCCTACATGAGCAATGTTGTGGATGGGATTCGAATGAACTAATGGAGAATTTATTTAAGGGTGGAGCTTGTACTGGGGCAGAGTAATACATATCACATGAACTTCCCCCATAAGGTGGAAAAGGGTCCGACAGAGTAGCAGCAGAGGTGCAAGAAAGGGACCCTAAAATTCTGTCAACTTCAACCCCCCCTCCAAAACAATCCTCAGAACTTGAATACTCTAACACTCACAGCTGCAGATGGCTCATACCTATGAGAGATGGAGATGTGTGTTTAAATGGCACAGCCTGCTTCTGCAGAAACACAGGCTCTTATTCAAAGGGCAAGGCAAAAGCTGAATAAATAAAGTATCTGGTGTTGTTTATCTGTGATGGGTTCGGTGGCAGGGCTCCTGTTTCTTTAACCTCTCTCTCTCTTTAGCGCAGGCCTCAAAGGCATCAATAATTCAGGCAGGAGATTGAGAGAAGGCAGCAGACTGGAGGCAGTCCAAAATCAGTAACAGAGCCAGACTGTTAGCGTCTCGGACATCTAAAGACAAAGCCACACTCCTGCTACGAAACACAGTGTCAGGGGAAGACAGGGGTGCAGAGGGAGGAAGCCCTTCCTGTCTTTACAGCAGAGACACCTAACTGAGCTGATCGTTGATTTCAGGAAACTGACAAAACGGACATGCCCCTATCCACATCAACGGGACTGAAGTGGAAAGAGTCAGTCACTTTAAATTCCTCGGCATCCATATCACCAAGGACCTCACATGGTCTCTCAACACCACCTGTCTGATCAGGAAAGCGCAACAGGGCCTGTACTTCCTAAGACGGTTGAAGAAGGCTAAGATATGTCCCCAGATCCTCACTAACCTTTACAGATGCACTACCAAAAGCACACTGACAGGTTGCATCACAGTGTGGTACAGTATGGCAACTGCAGTGCTGCTGACCGCAAAGCCCTACAGCGGGTGGTGAAAACTGCCCAGTCCATCACTGGGGTTGTTCTCCCATCTATCCAGGACATTGATGACAGACGGTGCCTGAGGAAAGCTCTAAGCATCATCAAAGACCCCAGACACCCCAGCTACAGACTGTACGACCCTCTACCATCTGGAAAACGGCACCGGAGCATTCGGGCCCGGACTACCAGACTCAGAGACAGTTTTTACCCCCGCACTATCAAACTATTAAACTCCCAGCCTCTCTCACTCTCACCTCTGACCTGAACTCACAGTGCCATCTTACCAAAAACTCAAACACACATTGAAATCTACCTCTACCCTACATGTCAAGAAGCTCACTCCCCATCATTTCTATCCTTTCGTTCTGTTGATGCATGTTTTTGCACATCTGATGTTGTTTTTGCACATTACCTGTTACCTTTTTGTTGTTTTGCACACTGCCTGTTGTCTCTGTTTTTCTTTTATTATACAATTGTATTGTTGTTGTTTTTTTGTACTACTTATCGTCTGAGAGCTAGCTCAATAGCATTTCGTTATACCATATACCTGTATATGAGCCATCCACTCAGAGGTCCTTGCTGTAAAAGCCTAGCCCCCCAGAGCTGACTCTGAAAAACCCCTTCTCTGCTAAACAAGTTGTAGAGAGAGGAGAAAGTGGGAAGGGATTGGAAGAAAGTCTTTTCATTCTAATCTCAGCATAAACAGGAGGGGAGGCAGGAGTCAAGAGAAGAAGATGGATAGAAAACACTCATCAGGTGCTATTAAGAGAAGCCTTCTCAAAGATTAAATGAGCAGATGCCCACTCACTGACTATACTTTTCTCTACTACTCCCTCTAGCCTCCCTTCCCAAATCAGCTCCGAAACTCCTGCTGCAGTAGGAACAACCTCTCACAACCTCTGTCCCACCTCACCCCCTCCTTCCATCATGCATAGGACAGATGATAAGCCTCGCTTTCAGCACTGCGAGGAATAACCTCAGAGTGTCTTCAGCTCCTTGGGACAAGATCAGGCCTACCTGCCACTGTCAGAAGGAAGAAGCACTGAAGCGCTTGGAAAGATTAAAGAAAATCAGGGCCAAAAGGACTTGGTGTTCAGCTCTTAAATACTGTGAAAACTCTGCACTGCACCCCTACACTATACCTCCCCACACACTGTTTTATCTCTTTCTCTTTCTGTTCCTGCAAAGATTCCACTGACGCCAGTTTCCTTGACAACACACCAACAAGCTCAACTCCTTAGCTGCAAACACAGGCTCTGCCAGTTTGTCCACTGTGCCTGTATTGTCCACCCCCTCCCCCTGTACTGCCACACTCATTCATTCAGCTTTCCCACTCTGTCAGAGCAGCAGCTCCAGCGCTCGAAACGAGTACAGCCCAGCGCATTTCGACCAGCTCCCTGGCAGCTGCGATAAATAACTCTGAATAAATCCCAACTCAAAATTAATTGAAGACAAAAAGTAACAAAAGAATGTCGTTTGAAAGAAGTCATCAGATATGGAAGCAGTAAATGAGAACTAAAAGCAGGGGCTGAAAACCCATCTACAGCTGCATCCCCTTCTGTCATACAGCTCCTACTCCACACGGGCCTGTTCCCCAAGCAAGAGAGGCTCTAGCTAGGACACCTCTAGTGTTCTCCGGCCCAAACCACCTAAGTACGGTGCGCGCCTCAAGCTACATGTCTCCCCCGTACCTGGGTCTCTGCCCGTCTTCCTCTGTCCCTTTTTACTCCCACTTTCGTTAGGCACCCCTGTGCAGAGCTGTCAGAAGCCCAGCCGAGGGGAGAGTGGCAGCGGAGCTGAGCCTGGGCAAGAGCTGTGGAGAAGCTACACTCCTGAAAGCAGATGCCCAACATTCCCTGGTCCTCAGCTGAAACCCGATCCCTTCTGACTTGCTCTGCTCAGCCAGTCATGAGTGGAGAGAAATGCATCACCCAACATCTTCCCAGCCCATTCCTTTCCCTGCTTGTGTCCTCTCCCATTACTCTCTCGCTCAGATGAGCGACTCCTGCTCCGCAGAGTGGATTTTAGAAGCTTGATTTGCACAAATCTCTGAATCTACGGGACAAAGATGGAACCCTGAAGTCTGCAACACTTTCAAGGATTTCCTCCATTCATTCTGTCAGCCATCAGGAGCTGCAGCGCCCAGAGTGTAACTCATGGGGGAGCTGAAATAAGCGAGAGGGGGAAGACACACACTAATCCTGGCCCACAGTGAAGGCTGCTATACACATTTCTCTCTTCTGAACAAAAGCCAGAAAAGGAGCCCTGCTGCCCCAGCCCCCTATTGCAATGCCAGCACCCCCTATTGGCCAACTGCTGGCACAGCATGTGCCTAACACCCGCCAATCAGTTCACAGAGCACACAGTCACATGCAGTGACACCTCACAGTGTGCTTTACACCCCTCCTACCCACGGTGAAGGACGCTGAGAGAATGAGTTAGTAGTGACACCATGTTTCTATCTGCCACTAGCAGCAAGAAAAAACAGTCCAAGCTGGCCCCTGATCTCCTGAAAACAACAAACGATGTCCTTCCTGAATCACGAGTTGGACTTTTAGGTCAAAATTGCTTGACTTGACATGTTATTTTTAATTTGTCTGCTCCACTGTATTCAAATAGATAGTTTTACATGCCCATAATGTTTTTGCTTCATTATAGCTGAAGCCATAAGTACTGGCTCCATGTATCCCAATTAAGAGGTTATTCAATCAGTGTTAATTCTGATATGTGGCCAGTTCCAGTGCCAGTTATGATGTCCTGATAAAATTCAGTAATAACACCAATGTGCGACAGTGATACTTATATAGGCTGTAAAGATGGGGCACATCAGTCCTGTACCTTCAGCTCTGCTTTCAGGCAGTCAGCTTCAGTCAGACTGCTGTCTTCTTCTCACAGTTACTCCAGACCTGCTGCTCCCTTGCCTGACAGACACCTTCAAAATAAGTTGCCCTGGTGGATCCCAGCCCTGCCAGACTTCCGTGTGGGAATGAGAGGACTTCGGCGTGGGGTACCTGCTACATGCGGAGGCGTCCTGCTCAGTCCCGACAGTTCATGCTCCCTTGGCACAGAGACTGCACTCACACTGCACACCTGGAAAGACAGCACCTGCCAATGAGCACAGCACTCAAACCCTCCACCCTGACTGGGAGATCAGTCCCAGGAAAGCTGCCAGCAGAGGCAGAGAAGAACAGAACTACAGCTAGTGTGTGAACCAGCTCTTCTATACTGCCTGGATTCCCCAGGTCTTACACTGCGTCACTGTCGGTCTGCCTCCCTCCCTCGGCTTTCCCTTTCGGACCAGGGAGAGCAGAAGGACAGGGGGATGGTGGTCAAGTGGGGGGATAAGGGGACATGGGGTGCGAGGATCGACAGGGGGACGTGGGGAGAGAGGAGGGACAGGGGGACGTGGGGAGAGAGGAAGGACAGGGGGATGTGGGGAGAGAGGAAGGACAGGTGGATGTGGGGTACAAGGAGGGACAGGGCCATGTCTCTGTCCTGCTACAAGCTGGGAGACACCAATCTGTGTCTCCCTAGATGCGTTCTCTGCACCAAATTGTTCTGTTTATGGTGAAGAACTGCAGCAGATTTCCACCCCAGAAGAAGAGTAGCAAGGAAGCCCTGTGGAACACATGTAATTAGTGGGGGGAGAAGTCAGAAATAGAATCACTACAGAAACAAACAATAGCTCCTAGAATATTACTGCTGCAGAGGGCTAGAGTGGCATAAAAATATTCCTTGCGTAACAGATCAACATCTTGCACTTTCACAGATCAGAGAAGTGTCCATAGGGCAAGGTTTGCAGGCCTCTTACTTTCTGTATGGAGTAAGAGCCCCACATTAACAGGCAGCAGAGACTGGAGACTCACACACAGCGGGCAAACGCTGTCCAGACCCACAGTTCACAGAGCAGCGTCACTTCTACCAACGGGTTCTGCTCTGGCCTTTCTTCGCTATTACAGTGCAGAACTTTGCTATGAGCTGCTTAATTTGTTACTTCATAACTAACAAAATCAGAATTAAGGCTGCAGCTGTAATAATGCAGTGGAGTGATCAGGAAAGGCCACGGGTTCTCTGTCCCTGTCTTACGGCATCTATGTCATCCTGTCTCCTCCCTCTATCCAAAGCTCCAAAGCCGACACAGCCGAGGAAGCCAGAGAATGCAGTGCAACACTCCAAATCCCACTGGATTGACAGACTAGGTCAGGAGCAAAACATTTATGTTGGAAAAGGAATTTCACATTAAAACCCGTACCAGACTGCTTCAAACAACAACAATACCAGCCTGTTTCAGAGGTGAGGGGTGGAAAGGCTGCTGGGATCCTTTTTCCAAGAAACCAGTCTTCAGAGAGCAGAAGAGCTCAGTCACTTCGTCATGCATTAGGTGCTGCGGAAACACCCGTGCTGACCCCTCCACACACTCCTTCCCCTCCACACACGCGCACTGACCCCTCCACATTCGCGCATGTCCCTTCCACATGCACTGTCCACTCCACACACGCGCACTGTCCCCTCCACATTCGCGCATGTCCCTTCCACATGC